AACATGGTTTGCCCTATTATGCGGGTTGCCTACCTGTAAGGCGTAAAAATCACAAAAACTGGCTATCATTTTAAAAAAGTGTTCTTTGCGGCAAATATGCGTGCTACAGTGTTCATAAGTGCTTGCGGGGATTTGTTATATATAACTATAGTGGAGGAAGGTGTGTGAGTAAGTGGGGAAGGGGGGGGGGGGGGGGGCACTCGTGCCAAAACGCCCCTAAACCTGCCGTAGGTTGTACTTTTTGGGTGTAATCAATTATTCACACTCTGGTGAAACCATCTAGTGGTTTTGTTGTACGCACCCGGACAGGGTACTTTCAAGAGCTGTTGCACACCTCTATTTTACAATTGGACCGCCCGCGACGAGCTAGTTGCATACTCCGCAGGGGCAAAATTGCAAAAAAAAACGCGTAATGATTACTTTACAGGCCCTTAACGGTCCCAATGGTTCTAAAAGTGGGACTTACATTATATTTTAACGTATTCTGGGAAATTATAGCGGGTTGCCTACTTCTAAGGCGTAAACATCTTGTATCTCAAAAAAATGTATAATCCACATCGATTTTTTTTATAGCCGCACCCCCGGAGTACGTTCTTGTGTACGTGTGAGTGTGTGAGATTGTGTGCCGAGAAAAAGTCATTCTGGTTGCCCAGAACACCCAAAAAAAAAAAAAAAAAAAAAAAAAAAACATAATGCGAGCGACATAAGATTCTGTTATTTATGACAAAAGTACTGTTTATTTATAGTTGATGCTATGATACCACACACTTCACTCTACAGCCACATGCTCATTTACTTCGCCGTAGAGGTAGGCAACCTGGTCAATTAAAGTCGTAATGTACGTAATATACTTCTCTTTCACCAATGAAGTTACTGTAGCAAATATCAATTCCCCCTAAGAAGGGGTTATGATTGTTTTAAGAATTTTGCTCCTGTGGCGTATGCAACCCGCAACGAGCAAACCATTGTAGGCGAGGCGGGTAATAACTCTTAAAAATGACCCACGGCCGCCTGTGGCTG